TAGATAGATTAATAGCTTGATTGATTGACTGATTGATTGATAAGTTAAATACCTTAGGCAGTGATCCAAATAGTTTGGGGAATGACTGCCACGCATTGGAATAAATTTACCTAGAAAGATCATGCTTTACATGCGTTACAAATGAAGTTCCTGTTAGCAGCTTATATCAAAGTGACCGTGATCGATTCTACTGTATCATTTATCTTCTACGAAGGGAAGCAGAAAGGATTGCTCAAGAAAACCTGTTTATATCCCTGATTAACGTGCCTTTGTGAAAATCTGCGCAGATATTTGTGTCTTTGCTAATGCTGAAAATATTGCTGCATTTGTCAAGGGTGGAAGGGTGGGGGGGGCATCGGTAGAGATAAAGGTTTATTGATCCGCTGTAGTGTCGCATACCTAAAATCATGAATTAACACAGAATGCAATGTTCGACCAAAACGCCAACAATCGCAGACTTCAAACTGTGGCGTGAACATATATTTGTCGTTTGCAAGGTTACAAACAATTTTAGCTGGAACTGCAGATTCGTGAAATGTAACGAAATCTAACTTGCTGGAATGGAATCCGTCACTGATAATATACTGAGGTTATAATTTATGCTACACTTTTACGATAATAAGCATTTACTTAATTATATAATATTTTAAACCACACAATCATATTGTGCATTGCTATTAGGTCTACAATTGTCAAGTGACTTCACAACTAGCACAGATCTCAGCTTGTTTCGCTGACCAAGGTTTCGATTCATGGTATCGACAGGCGGATATGACTTGTTAAGTAGCTTGTTGCCATTAGCCATTTGTTCAATTAAATAAATTTATGCGAGCCACGCCTCACGAAGAGGATTCATGAGTTGTTAGAATTGCTTCATTTCACGACATTTTGTGATGAGAGTGGATACGTTTATCGAAACTCATTGAAAAGTCCAGAAACAGAGCTCTCTAGAAAACTACTGAAGATCCGGGACTAAATTTTCCTCTCTCCTCACCTTCCATTCTTCCCTCCACAATTCATAGTATTAATTTGCATTCTGATCCTCTGCATGTCATTCACTACTGATCGGACGAAGGCAATGTTTATAAAGTTCCTTCGCTAAAAAAATTTCTTCACGATGAGGTGAGGATAACCGCCCGCATACCGCATCGGCTTCCAGTAAAACGATCGACCAAGGATCTCGCCTTATTACGCCAGTGGAAAACCCAGTGCTGGTAAAAAAAAGTGCAGATGTTTTTCCTGCGACTGTGCTCGAAGCGTTTCCCCTGCGCCCAATAACCTACATCTTCTATTGATTTAGCCCTGGCGCGGTTAGTGCGTTTTTTCACTGCGCGTGTACGGTTGGAACTGGCCTGATCAGGCTTGGCTTGGCCCGTGGTCTCTACGGCTGTCCGCTACGCGGCGCCCTCACGCTGAAGCCGCGCACATCAGCAGAGGAGGCAGCTGGACGGCAGCGGCAGGTGCCACGTCGCTGTCGGCTACAGCACACGTGTCGCGTGCTGTTCTTCTTCTACCGCTTCTTGTTCGTCTTGCTGTTCTTCGTTTTCGTGACAAGCGATGAGCAGATGGAAGGATGACCGAGGGGCGGACCGCAGCCTGCCGCCGACAGTCCTCATTAATCACTTAGTCTTCGTCCTCGTCGTCGTGCCGTCGGCGTCG